GACGTTTCGTTGAACTGTGGGACTATTTATCAGTGCGCATCCACGGTCCCGTCTCGCGAGATTCGAACCTATAGGTCTGGCGCGCGAATGCTTAAACTTTAAACTACTGAGCCGGCGTCCAGCGGTGTTAATATCTAACTTCAACCAATCCACGAAATTGAGTGACACATCCTCCATTGTCTTCAGTGAGTCACTATCTCACAACAGCTTCAACTGACTCATGATCTCAACTATTAAAATTACTATAACACCCACAAAACCCCTTCTGATACTATATATGTATTTACGTTAAATTTTCATTAGACCAAATCTCTTAATACAGCATTTTATACTGTGAAATTTGTATACATATAGAGATCATGAAGATATTAACAGAAATAAAATATTAAACTTCTCAGTCAATCTATCTACAGTTTTAAAGTACTTTGAATTTTGAGCCTAATAAAACTTTAATGAAAGGAATATATTTTCTGGTAATACAATACGTAGTTAAACATTAAGTACTCAGTAAATTGTAGATATTCATTAAAAATGAAGCACATTGAGGGAAATAATAATGATTACAATTATTAATAACATGGCAATAAGTTTTCAAATTACCAATGAAAAAATTTCATGGAAAAAATGTGGAACTAACAATAATAGCTACTAATAGGTAACACAAATTAATTGATTTGTTTGAGTACAGTATATGAAAACGAAGTAGAAGACATATCTTTGTAGTTAATTATACAGGACCTCTATTTTTAAAAGTATAGATTCTACAGTTAACCTTAGCCTGTAATTCAATATAAGCTAATCTTAGTACGGGATTACAATAATATTAGGTAGCAGTAAAAGTTTCTAGAGCTGAATAACCTAACAAAAACTTCAGAACTAACGTCAAATTCCATTACGAACGGATTGATAGAATTTATAATATAATTGTCAGTGTTTTGATTTGACCTTTTCTCCCGAGGAATCTTCCATAGCAGAACTTTAAGAAAATGAGATTTCTAATCAATGCACCATGCCTAGGAACGTTAAGCACAGACAACTATTCAATCACATAAATAGGGAATGGACTCCATAATTTATGCTAAGAAATCGTGTACGTATTTTGCATGTTTTCATTAAAAACCAAAAACTAGATAATATTCAATAGGAAATTCGACTTTACCTTGCTGCATCTTCATGATTACTAGCATCCACGTATTCCAAAATATCTATAGTGATACTTTGAGAGGTTGACGGATGAACAAATACTTCTTGGTTATCAGGAATTTGACGTAAACCACTTACGATTGCAGGTAGTTAACAGTTTAATCAAAAAAGGAATGTATGAATTAAGAATAAGTTATATGCAGTTTTTTCAAAAAGTATACTTAATAAAATATGAAATGAAAAAGTCCTAGAAGCCAAGACAAAAGATGAGCACTAGGATATGGATCACAGGACCCAATCTCAATTGATCTAAATTTATATTGGTGTTCATGAAACTTAAAGGTTTTGAGTTCAACTTTGTATGGAAAGGGTCAAAGGTAAACATTTTAGTAAGGCCCCCCGAAATAGGACTAACAAGTTGGTTATCCAATGTATTTTGGTTTTTAGATGTTCCTATATCTAATACCAATTCAGTATGAAAGATACTTAGAAGGAAACTAATGTTGAAGTAGAACAAAGGTGAACATTAATATTTGATTAGTCAATTAAACAAATGGAAAAATATATATACTGCCATTAGGATAATTTACTATTTCATGTAGATTTCCAAATAACTTATTTTAATATCCTTATAGTTTTTCACTAGACTTATCGTCTATTCAATCAAGCAAATAAAAAAATGATCATCTTATTCGAAATCAAATTCAGTATTTCTTAAGTTTATCTATTTATCAAACTAGATGTGCAACGCTAAATTTCAATATACCTAGTCTAATAATTACAAGAACTGAAAGCTGTGAACTCATGGAGAAGTTATCAAACAGTTTCTGGTTTTTTCAAATATTCTAGTTCATACATTTTTGCCGTGTTAAACAAATTATATTTTACGTTAAGAGTTACTGTGTAGGTAAATATTTGTTTCAGGGTGAGTATGATGGGAATAATAAAAGTGACAGTTAAACATATTCCAATCACTTAAATATTTCATAAGGTTGTTAGTACGGCTACAGGGCATTGTAAAAATTGTGCTCCAGAAATAAAAGATTCGATGATAATATCAATGAAGAGTTTGATAGTTCTTTGGTACTCATTTATTTACAGAAATCTATTGAAAACTGATTATAAGGCTGAATGAATTATCGTTAGAATGTTTGGTGTTCAGAGTGCATGATAGTTATTTCTCTCAACACATACTAATAAAGTTGAAGTTTGAATACAAATTAACTATTGGCAATGACTTGTTGCCGGAGCTAGATGGTTTAATTGCCGTTCGGGATAAAATTATTATATTTTACTTCATACAGAAGTTGATTATTTTTTGGCTCTTTCAATCTATATCATACAGTAAACATTTTACGATGGAACTTCAATATTTTGATAAGTACTACCTGACATATTTAACTGGTATACAGCTCAATTACTTTTCGGCACAATTCGTCAAGTACAGAAAAGTTTATAATTTGTCTCACCTGGCATCAACTACATTCGTCGGTAATAGGCATTGAAATGCTCCATCAAACAATGGATGAGACTGCATTGTACTGAAGATTAGCGTAAAAGAATTTTTAAAAAGAAGTATGAAAAGAATTAGAACGAACGGATTAAAAAAATCAAATAATTGACGGTAAATAGTGATCTGTCAACGAGCACTAAATAATATCATAATGTATAGTCTTTAGAGGTGATCACTTCTTCTAATAACACTTACATTGTGAGCGTTAAACTAAAAGATACATCAAGGTGGACATTAAGTTGATATAAAAATTATTCGACGTAGATTATATGAAGTCTTATAAAATGATTTTGAGCTAATTTACATTCGTAAGTCAAGAGTGAGTCTTCACCTTCCGTGCTGAAGTAGGAGCTGTTGGGTTTGTGACCGAGATATTAACCGCAATATACAAACGAATCTCCGGATAATGTACTTCTTAGAACGATTATCTGTCACAATTTGAATTACATAATGGATATTTCTTCATTTTATTTTTATTTATTCATTAGATTTTTTTCGTTCAGTACGAAAATAATGATATATTTGTGGTGTCCTGATGAGCGGAAATTATGATTTCTTCTCTTTAAAGAAACGACTTAAACTAAGTTGTGAAATGTACGAAATTCTTATGAATACTCATTGGGATATTACAAATATATGATTATTTTATTGTAAATAATCTACCCAATGCTCTATTAAATTGAGATGTTATATTTTGTTCATTGGATTATATTAGTCTTGTATCCCTGTTTAATTTAATTTAAACACTGAAATTTATTCATTTAAGATTTAATTAGCAGTTTAATAGTAAATATCAAAATATTATCTTATCAAGATTATACATAACTAATGGGGTTAATAAACTAATCACCATGGAACTAACAAAGTCAACAACGACACAGATACAAATCAATGATATTAATTAATTGAATTACATAATGCCTTATTTGGACATATTTTATAAAGATTAAAAATGAACTGAGACATAGGTTGATATATGATCAGAGTTATCATCTAAAAAAAACTTATCAAATTTGCATATTACTATGGCCTACGAAGAGTTGTCGACTCATATTTATTTGAAAAATTCACTTTTCATAATTATCTAATTTGCAATCTCTATAAGCAGTATCGGTTTGCTTGGGGTTTATATTAAAGAATCGAATTAACCAGTTACTTTAAATAGACATATAATCACTTAAAGATTTGATATTAGTTCTCAAATTACATTATAATGAATTGGTTATTTATTTGTCTACTTTCGAATGTTTCTCAATATACATTAGTAATAGTTGAGAATAAAGGCACTTTATAATTGTATAAGTATCCAGTGCTTTTTAATTTTCGACGATTGATAAATCATTTCTGATAGATAAGAGGAAGATAGCTAAAAATAGATACAATGATATGAAGTCATATTCATCATCGACTCAAAATGCCACATTTCATAACTGTGCATAAACCGGAAAATAAAATATACAGAGGATGAGTGTTCCTCAATTAGAGAGACAAAAAGAGAGATGATAGTGGATAATTGTCACAGAAAGTCTTTGAAAGTTGATTTCAACTAGATCGAGTTGGACAGTTCGGATATTCACACTACAATTTATAGCCTTGTTCGGTGGTCAGTTAACCATACAACTTAGTGTATCATAATTTTTACTTAATTCAGTCAAAGTAGGGAATCATTTAGCTAATATATTTCAGTCACTAGGAGAAATAGTGGTGTATAAAAATATTATGAGTTACATTGTATTTTATACTTAATATCGATATTAATAAGGTGGTACTGACGAAAGTAAGCAAACCCCTTCATACAATTTCCACCCAATGCAAATAAACGTCAGATGTTGCATAATCGGAAAGAGTCGACAATAAGTTTTGAAAATGTTTCATGCTAGTTAACACTTATTAACAAGACATGTTTGTTTTCATGAGTGAACTGATGGGCTTTGTTAGATTCCCCTACTGTCACAGTGAGAGACGCTACCACTGAGTTTTTCATTCAAACTCAGTCGACTTCCTGTATGGCTGATATATTTATACTAAATGATCAGTGAGTCATGTTGGGTGGTCGACGTCTACCGATTAAGACGTAATGCGACTATCAGATTAAACGGACCAACAACCCTATGCATTATATTAGTCCAACTGTTGAGACATGACATGATTTACTTACAATTGAATACTTGGTCAATATATAAACATTTCTAGTTAGCTGCCTTAAATAGGTTTGAATTTACTAACTAAATGGTGTAATAATATTCACTAATTAATAACGTATGAGAACACAACTATTTGATAAGATGGAACAACAATAAAATAAACTATTTTTACTTTAAAATAATTCAAAACACAACAGAAATGCAGATTTATGTATAATTTATTCTATTTTACAAAAGCTTGCACATATCTGAATATGTTTAAAGGAGGATTGGATAGAGAAGACAATTTACGTTACAATAACAATTTAAGAAACGTTCTAATTTTATCTACAATAAAAGTATAAAATGGTTATAAAATCGACGGAGATAAAAAGTACATTGAAAAAAAGTGATCAAATGAGAAGATAAAATATAGAAAAAAAAAGTGAAGCAAAAGAGGATTCACCAGGAGATAGTGATATAAGATAACAAATGCTTCAAATTAGCTATAGCGGGTATTATAACCTACTTAAACATTGTAAAATAAGTGAAGGGAAAATTATCCTATTAAAAAAAGAAACAGAATTTGTCTACTATGAATATGTGAAAAAAAGCCAAGCAAATTACATAGAATTATAGTCATGAATCGCTTTAGAAATTATAACTAACTCAAACAAAGGGGAAAAATCATACATTTCCACTGTCACGGTTAATAGAGACAGATAGTAAGTTATTATTGATGACGTTGTAACTACTATCCAAGATATTTTGAATGTTTTCAATGCTAGAACGTAAAATATTAACTTCATGATGTTTAAGACGTTCACAATTCTGTTGAATTAACGTTAACTGATTCCATTCAGGAGTATCCTACATACACAAGTGAGAGAAAAATTTTAATCAAGTCAAACTAAGTCATTTATATGTTATTTCGTGATTTTTAAATATAATCCAAATAGAATGGTAAAAATAACATAAAAATATCTTTCGAACCTAAATGATTAACAGATCTCCATAGATATCTCAAGTGCGAATTATATCAAATTACCATATCGATAAGATGAAGGGTCAACCGAATAATCATAACCAGTTGGTCAGTTGATTAGTCTCAACGTAGAAGCTGGTATGTATGTACACTGCCATATCCCATTATTACGGCGAGATGAAATTGTCCAGTATATTTACTGTTAACTCGATTCATAATTATGATTTATGTGGAAAATCAATAACAACACAACAAGAATTTAAACGATACACACTAGAACAACTGGGTTTTTTTTCAAATCAACACCAAAACATCCACTTATTATGCATAATCAATCTTCAGGAAACTGAGAATAAACTAACCTCTAACAGTAAAGTCCCATACGCAGCAATTAATAATTTCAGGCGATTAATCATAAAACTTAATGCTTTGTGTTCGCAGGCAATTTCTTTATTAAACTCAAAACTACTCAACTCCAGTTTCATTATTATGTGATTCGATTTAGAGTCTACTAGATATTTATTAAGTTCATCTGCAATGTATAGAAGAAAAAAAGATGAAGACGAGTATGAATATGTAAATTGACATACAACGGAAAAAGGTTATCGGAGTTTATTATAAATAAAAGTAATATATTGGCAAATATTATTATGAGGAGAGAATAGATGATAGCGCTAACCTTTGTCCATACAAAAAATACGTGAAAATATGAGGAATTCTGTCATGGATTCAATATCACCACGCAAATCACACTTCAATGGACTAAAATGAAAGAAAAAAAGAGTGAAATGAAACTTTAAGCAAGTTTAATATCACCATATGTAAGAATGAATAGTCTTTCACATGTGTTGTATCATATATGACTGAGAATTAAGTATTATATCTTTAAAAAGTACTTGGCTCTACCTTGAAAAGATTTTCATCTCTGTATGGAATCAAACTGTAATGGGAAAATGATCACGTAACTTGTAAATTTATATTCAATTATAGCTTTGACTGACTTTCAAACATTAGGTTAGGTGTGCTAACCCTGGCTCTTCACACATTAATTTGATTAGGCTGGGAGTATCACTATTACACAAGTAATGCATTTCAAAGCCGAACATATAAGCCCATACTTAATATATGATTTTTAAGTATGTCAATAACTTTAAAGTGTTAACAATGAAATTCAACTTCATGTGTTACGACTTATAGGGTTGTACATGTTACAGTAGCCTATCATTAATAATGGGTTTGTCGAATTCTTGTTATATGACATTCAAAATAAACATACAGTACGCTGAAATAGTGACAACTGTAAAAGGAACTCGGTTAGTAATATCACATAAATAAATAGTTTTCATTTTCTTTTCAGAGAGTTCAATAAACATTTAGTTTTGTTGACACGTTTTAAATCAAGTATGTTAGGCATCATTGATAAATTATAAAATGAATTTATACGACTATGCAGCATAAAAAAAAACCTCAGTTTGTGACTTACACATTTAAGCCAAAAGTTTGTAATAATTGTTTACGTGTTAATGCCAGAGAATCGGAAGAACTGATACCTTGAAGAATAGAACAGAATGTTATAACAATGAATAAAACAGAGGATAGGAAGAAAGAAAATAGTGTATTTTATCTAACCAATTATAACACCATACAACTTTATGATTTATGTAAATAATAGGAAAAAATATATTTATCTTACTGTCGAATAAAGGTTATTAAAAACTTACAGTTGACATCTATTCAATGGTAAGTTTATATAGCCACTGAATGTTAAAGGAAAGATCTGAAAACTATTGTGACATCTTTTGACTTGAATAACTTTTGCCTAATACAAACACTTTGTAAAAAATAAACCTTCAATACTTGATCTATTGAACTTATTTGAATGATGAAGCATGTTCGGCCAATTTCAAGTTCACAATACCAATCTAGGAAAGTTATACACCATAATATTAATGGCCAGTATCAGTTCCATTATACAGAAATATTGTGACTTAACAGTTTATATGGTTATGTTTCCAGTCACTGTGAGTAGAAGAGATATTTACTTAAACTCGTTTTGTATTTTCAATAATGTCTTATTATTATTTATACATACAGCCATTGATATAAGGGGGCAAAAAAATATATATGTGCTACAGAAAATTTTTGTAAGGTTTAAGATACTGGCCGGATGCTCAAACTTATGGTAAATAACAAACAATTTTATCCATATCCATATTATAATTGTTCAGTGTAATGTAATGAACAATATGAAAACGGAGAACAGATGAAAACTAATTAACGAGAGAGTCCTTTAGTAATAAATAATGTAACTCATTTACCAAGTACAGTTTCATGTACCCGACTTTAAGGAACACTTCAAGTGTAAGCATTAGTGATATTATCAAACTTGCCAAATCAAAGTAAGTGAATTGTAGTTAAAATCTAAAGCCTATTAGTTGGCAAGTGAATGCTTTAGCCACTAGTACACCACATTTATTGTAATTGAATATCAATGAGACATGCATTTCTTGAATCAATTTTACCATAGTAACATAGGATACGATGATTTGATCCAAACAGATTTAGTACGAGGTACATGAAAAAAAGTAATTACAACTGCTAATAAGCACGAATTTTTTTACAGGTAAAACTGATGTATCAAAATGATAACTTGCCTAGAGTTATTGTCAACTTATTGTTCAGATTAACATGAGGTATAAAACCAGAGAACATGAAAAAATCTTCATTTGAACGGTTTCCGTAGTCCATAAATATCTAAATATATAAACAGGGAAGTGTGAAAAATAAAGAAATAGGAGAAACTACCCTCATTAATTAATTAATGTAATTGCTGACACAAAATAAACAAATAAACATCATTTTAGTACGGAATTATTCCAGTAAGGTAATAATTTCGTGGCACGACAAAGGCCTACAAGTTTAGGACGTGGGAAGAATTTTTTATTCAATAAATCGTCCGATCTTGAAAGAAAAATTCCTGAGGTAGTTTGGTCTTATGTTTTCCGTATTACGCTATGAAAAGATTGAAGAACAGTCATCAGCTGAGCGGTTTCCATATATATTGCACTGTAAATTAACTCTATTTACCATTATAAGTTGGAAACTAATTAGCAAGTTAATGTTTGACAGTAAGTCAGTGGTTTGTGCACATTAATTTGATTTGCAAGAATAGGTATGGTATCAATAATCCTCACATGAGAAGCATAGCTCAAAGTCGGGTATACGTATCTATATTTAGCTGTTGAGTTATATTAAAAATTTGCATTAGTGTTACAAGACCACAAATTATATTTCCAAAATAGTGGACTTATTGTGAGTTTTGATCTGCACAATAAAATAAACACTAGGATGCTAGTTTATTGTTTATCATCTTAAAGTGAGCTTATAATTAGACAGGAAACGTTCCAGACTTATTAACTTATAAAAATACAGCTCTGAGACAAAAAAATGTACCTGATCACCAGGTTTGTATGCCTCCATTGTACAGAATATTAATTCATCTACTTCAGGATAATAGTGTGTTGTAACCTAAATAAAAAAATGAAGACAATAAAATCTATACACAAAACGTATGTGAATACACTAGGAAGTATCAGTAATCATTAGCGAAATTCACTTTAAAGCAGATCATAGATAAACAACGTGCCATTCAATACAAAAATGAATTGACTAAAGTTGGCACACAAATTTAGAAAATCAGTAGACATATATGTGACGCTAGAAGACACAAATTTGAGTTATATGGAAAAGCACCAGCTCAGTAAAGATTGAAAATATGACTTGCTAACGGGTACCAACAAGCCAAGAATTAGGACCAGAGGTTCCTGTGAATAGTGTCCAACTAGTCAAAAACTAACAAAAATATGGGTGGTGACGGTAACTAATTAGAAAATGATATGACTTGCAGGATTGTGAGCAAGAGAAAAAAGATGCAACTGCGTTAGGGAAAACTGTTTTAAACAGTAAAAGGTTTTATCAAAGCAAGGTTGTTACTAAATGTCACTAAGCCTCTTTTCATAAAAGGTCATAAAACGATAACTATTATGAAAACGAAGAATATTGATAGTTCATAAATATGGAGTGAAAAGTGGCTTACATCACACTATATAAAAACCCGTTGATTATTCCTTGGAACGGGAATTGGTGTCAGACTAGAGAGATAATAACCGGTAAACCTTTTTTATTGAATGGCTTTATTCAATATTATATTTTGGTACAATATAGAATTCTCAGCACAAGGTATTTCAACAAGTTACTTACGCAAAAAACAGTAACAAAGACAAAAAAGGTTAAAAAACACCGAAAAACCGTACAAATTTTCAAATTTGAGACATGTTAAGAATGCAGGCTATTGACTAGGTCAACTCTAACAACCTGTTCTTCACAGAGTATATTTGCTAGATAAGGTATTATAGAACTTTTATACTTTTGCTTGCGTGCACGGACTTTAATGTAATTACGTGTCGTTCTACCAGAAGATATACAAGGAGAAAGATAAGAGTGAAGGGGATGGTTAGAGTCTGATAAAATAACACCTGCCAGGAGTTTGCATGACTTTAGATGTCTATCCACAACCATATTATGACCTCGAAAGATTCACCACACATCTTGCTAACTGCCTTCAGCACTCTCTGCGACACAGCAGTCTTTCCTCAAAAGCCCGGAAAAGAATCATGCAGTAAAACCATCAAGAGGACTGAGGTAATATAATCTAGTCTTTCGGATGGTGAGGAATTACAAACTAAATACGATAGATAATGGGATGATTATAAAAGTTTCACTGAGTTAATGCTGGATATATATATATATATATATATATATATATATATATATATATATATATATATATATATATTAGGACGGTCAGTGATTGTAACCAGTCACGTGGGATTACATAGTTTCCAGATTTTAGCTAAAATATCAGTCAACTTGACAATTAAAACGACTGCCATCCTTAGAGATCTCTGGAGTTAATTCATTCGAACTAGCTGCTCTTCCTCTTTTCAGACTAGCTATTGCTTTTTGAACTTCAATTAGAGTTGGGGGTCTATTTCGATGTTTCATTCGGGTTGTTTGGAAATAGTGGGTAGCTGCACAGCAGCTGAACTGCTCCTTAAAATGTCCCGCCCATCGTTCTAAACGTCGGGATTGAGAGAACAAAAGTGTCGTCTTTTTCCGAGATTGCCCCACTTACACTTATTATTTCGAGTTTCTTTTATTAATCTGAAGAGCTGCCTTGTGTTACCTACAGCCGCAACAAGCAACACCTGGGTCAGCCTCGTTTTTAAAATGGCCCAAGTATGACTTCGGTTGTTCCTGGAAATCGTCTTTTGCTTTGTCACGTCTGAGATCAACTATGATGGGTCTTTTTAATGTGGCTTTTCTGTGTCCAATGAAGCGCATGCAAATGCATACTCGTGTTAGAACATGATCAGAGTCTAAACATGTATTCCAGAAGGATAGGCAGTCTTCTACCGAGCCTCTCCAATGCTGACTGATGGTAACATGGTCTATTTGAATCCATCGTCCATTTGGTGCAGGGGGTCGCCATCTTAGACGATGTCTCTCTTTATATTGGTCAGAAATAAAATATTGTCTGAACACAGTTGAAGCTGACGGTCACGATTATCTGTTTGCTGAGCTGTAAAACTAAAAAAAGCTTTCTGCGAAATTCTTGATTCACTTCAACCAGGCTGCAATCAATGGAAGCATAAGTAGAAACAACAAAAAGGTAACGGTGTGTGTCTCTATGCTTCCGAGTTCTTACGGAGCAGTTTGGCCGAACAGCACATAAGTGACTGTTATAAGGGATCCATTCTAATAATGCATGTTTTGCTCTCCTAATCAGTGCTATGCCTACACCTTCCAGTGTACGAGAACTAGCCATCCGATTGCCAGATTAACGGAAGGTGTATCTCGTCAGCTCTGTTTTGGCGAAGTGAGGTCAAGTGAATAACTACACTAGGACCATATATGCGTGTTTCGGAGAAACAGCATACATCAATCGTACGAGATTTTAAGGTTTTAGCCAAGTAGGCCTGCTGAGCGATTTGAAGTAGGATGCGTACATTGAAGGTTCCAATGTGTAGTTTGGAGAAAGGTTATAGTAGACTTGAGACAGTATTTCGCACACTGGAATCGTTGGCCATGGTGACACTTGAGGGGGGAGTTTAGAGTTGATAGCTGAGTTAGAAGGAATTATAGGAGTTGAAGAAGGAACTTGATTATGAACAGTGGTCTTAAGTGCTGTTAGATATGAGGTTGGTTATCACTTCCCAGTTGCTCACACCATGGAAGATTTCTTCTAGAGATTCCGGAAAAGTAAATTGGGTTACGGGCAGTCTTAGTGACCTGAGAGCGTGACCGTAGTATCCAAGGGACAACAGCTTTAGGCCAGTCACGCACGACCTTTTTGTGAATAATTTTCGTGTTATCTCTATACTTGTTGAAACCTTACCGATGGAGACGGATATTCGTGGAATAAGGCAAGACGTGCATCACTAGGATCGACCTTTTCTAGACCCACCATCCCTTGTGGGAAGGCACTATCGCTGTTATGCTGGTTGTCTGAAGGAAACACCTTACTGCCGTTACACCTCTGTACAGTCAGCATTACAACTTCGCCCTCGGACCTTCGGTTTGCTGCTTTAAGTTTTACCACTCTTCAACCAACCTTTCTGGCATGGTAGGACCTTGAGCAACAACTGTTCCAGCCAGTATAACTCGATTGGTTTATCACGATTAGTATGCCCGAGCACCACGTCAAGGTAGCAGCAACGGTTGAGACTACTAGATTACGCACTGGAAAGTCCTGGAATTCATTATACCATACTAAATTGGAATACTTCCACTGCTTAAAGCAACATTGAACAAGATTTTATCAAGTACAGTTTACTGACTTACACGACCGGATTTATGATTCATCATATCCCAAACCGGGATAAGACACATAATTTTATCTCTTCCGTTAAGGTGTGGTATGTAATTGCTTCTACTCATTACTGTTGACACAGCCCATCTAGATAAAAATAATGAAAAAACATCAAATAATTGGGATAGCACTGGAAGCAGTATCGTACTGAAGTCATAGAGTAAAGTTTGACAAGACATGCATGAAAAACTGAAGGTTACACCATTGATACCTAAAACATCAGAAGCTCATAATGATTTCAATATGTATCTATCAAACGAATTACATCATTAATACAGACTCATGGAAGAATTAACATTTTTTATGATGAAAAACCTTTGGTAGTTAAAATGTTCAGATTAGTAACGCTCAATTCTAACTGAACACATGATTTGGAGAAAGAAAACTATTGTATTATTCATAGTGTACAGGGAGATAAATACATTGTAGTTAAACACCATAAAATGTTTTCAGACAAATTCAGTCTTTGTACCACTAGTATTACAAAAACCTCTTAAATCTTGCATACATTTCGATTTGTCCTCGTTGGGCTGATATGGTGTGGAATGTTAGGTAGAAGAACAAATATGCCAGATTCTACTTCGCTTATGGATGACTAATCGACCGAATCTATCATCAACATAGAAACTTGAAAATATCCTACGTGGAAGATATATAATAACTGGTTGTGTGCAACAGACTGTGTGATGCACTCACAAAGCTAGACTGAAAACTGCTTTTCGTCGGTGTGGATACACTCGGCTACATAAATATTAATAATTCCTATAACTATTAAGTTACTTAACGTTAGTTGCAACTCAGTGTTCAAAATACAACGTAAAAAATCAAGAAACAAAATGAGCACATGTCTTAACGATTCTAGTCGATACAGACTCAGTACGAAGTCAATCGACTCGCAATCCTTATGCAGTATTGTCTAATCTCAGAATTTCTAACGCGATGGTCCAAAAATATATGAGCTATGGTTCGGTGATACGTATAATCGAATAATAGTGTAACCTACGAATATTCTTCACTTTCAAAGGCCACTTTTCATAGCCACCAAGTAGAACGGAGCGAACTGCTGCTCAGCAAACTCGTCGAGATGACTGGTGGATATCTCGCCTACGCAACAAGTGATGCAAGTTAGCGACATCTAACCAGGCTTTCCGAATTCGTAAGGAGATTTCGTCAAACAACAAACCACCAGGACTGATGAGATTACCAAGATAAATGAAATTATAGACATTCAACTACTTAACTCTATCATAAAATCAGGGTTTGATATAAACTGATTTTGAACGATATTTTGCATGTGAAAGCACAGAAATGCAGCTTAAACATCCTCGTATTGTTGCTTAAAGTGATCAAAAGAACGCATTTTGTCAGCGGTTTCCTCAAACAGAACTATATCATCTGAATATTCTAAATCGAAAAATTTTTCCTGGAGGTTCGATTCTTGAAAAGTCAGACGATGAGTGTTATCTAAAAGAATTTCTGCGAAAACGTAAGATAAAAATAGAGAAAGCGGATAATCTTGACCAATACCACTTGAAGTAATCGATTCCCATGGCAGTTCGCCATAAGCTTGAACCCAACCGGTAGTTTTCACGTAGAGAGCCTGTACAAAGTTAATATACTTTCATACGCTTTTCAATGACAGATACTGCTATAGAACCTACTGATTAACAGAATCGAACGCTACCTTGATGGTGTCAAGTGTATCTTAACTACATTAAGAAACACTCTTACAACTTCATTCATCTATATTGAAAATGGGAAAGTGAATTACTCCGGTAGATTGAACTGATTTAATGTAACTGACAAGGAGAACAATTGTGAGTTTGAACGTCTTGCATAGGGAGGACTAGTTGTTCGGTTAAATGGGAACGAGAAGAAAGTCGATTGCGACTTATGTCAAGCAACATATCCTAAGGTGTAATATTGATTGGTAAAATAATAGGACCAGAATAAAAAAAAGTGGTAATTTACGGAGTGAAAGTCGGTCTAATCTATGCATTCTAGTATATGCTTCTTGTATGAACCATGAAGTTAGGATTCCTTGACTACAGATAGATACTAGTTGGTATTATTATTATTTAAACATTAATACAAGGAGACACCGAATACATATGCGCCATACAAGTCACTTGATTTATGTGCGGGCTGTTTTACTGCCCAGGTGCACAGACCGAAGCAGGTGTTTTCTTAGAGGGCCAAACCTGGAGTCTTTGACATAAAGGTCTGACCCACAACGCAGGGGAGCAACGTAAGGAGACGCAGTTCCGTGGTAGCTGGTGATTAACAACAGGTTCAAACGACATTTGTTTACTTAGGAGCTTGAAGCCCATGTACACCAATGGTTTGGAATCAGGGTTTTTCAACTCTTCTAGGTGGATCTTCCGTATCAACCGACACGGTCAAAGCGCCAGACATTCGCTTTCCGTCCTCTCAATTTTGGAAAGAACACCCGCAACGAGAGAAGGAATTGAGTAAGACTTCCCTGACAGTGCTTGTATACACGGGGCTATGTGAGAGCATTTCGAGGGAGAGAGCTGACTCTCCTCACTTTCGGCCGTATCAGTGCATCCGGAGGCTGGATACTTCTTTGATACATTTTCCGTCAATTAACGAAAATTTCATTGTGATACTCACTTTGGAATTAGGTCGACTGCTCTCATTTACATTCGTCTCAACGTCGACACCCGTACAGACTTTAATGAACTTTTTTGTGCAGCATTCTGTATTACCTATCTACATCTTTATCATATCACCAAACGATTTTCTAAGACAAGATATGCTGTGAATTCCAGGGAATTGATGGCCATATATGACTTCGACAAGTGCATAGTCGATAACACATAAGGTTTGTATTCACACTAGAAACTACAATCTGTCCCACAACTTAATCCGGTTTATTTCTTTAATGACTTGGTCCTATGGAAACACTTCGCTCATTAAGTTAGGTGACCTTTGTAGGTTTTGACTGGAGTTTACGGACAAATTATCTTTTTGTAGCTAATCAGTTTTATTTTTCAACAAACAAGTAAAACACCTTTGGCATACGAAGGCCGTATTTTTGAAATGCTTTGGATTATATGTACAAGAAAGACCATGATAACTACGTATACTTAACTCACAATATCTGATAAACATTCACAACCACAGGCAGTAACGAGGAACAATTGATGAAACAACAAAAATACCCATTTGAGAGGGGCACAATATTGTAATAGTAGCTTAGAGTATATCTCACTTAAATATCAAAACATATGTTGTAAATAAACAAACAAATTAAACATTGCGTTCACTGACCTATAATCATCGAAACAAAAGACGAGATCCGGGATATCAAAGACCGTTGGGTTATTAATGAAGCGACAGCAAAAGTAAGCGTATTGGCGACAAATGAACAAATAGTTTGAAACAATTTTTTCTGAAAAGCGATGTCAAAGGTCAAGCATTCATATTACCTAGAACTGGCGATCCCTTCAAGAGGCAAATATCCACAACGTTCATATACAGAAATGTAGAATACTCAAAAGGCAATGTTTCTGTACACTAATTTATTGTGAAACATTTTACTTATATAATCTCTCCATGTTGATTTGTCTCCTTGGTACAGTTCACGCAATAAGCACAAACAAAGTGCAACATTCTCCATACTCGATGCCAGGTTATCTTGCGCTATAAACTCTCCTAACAGATTAAATACTGGAAGATAAAACATACTCAGACGTGTTGATGAATCTTCTACAGAGAGCACGGCCCGCCTAGGCAACCTGATTAATTGTTGACCCTCCTAAAGGTATAAAAGCTTCCAGTATTACCTTAATAGGAACGGAGGCAGTGAGTCCAAACCCATATTTTTCGAACCAGTGAACCGTATAATTATCACATGGAAGAAAATTCTCCAGGTCATTCTTTCTCCTCTCACAAGACTTCATCAATTTAGACACATAGCTATGTTCTGAACATGCATAATCCATTGAAACCGCTTACCCTTCTGGACAGAAATAATTTCAGAAGTTAGAGACTGCAATGCTTTAATAATCTCTATTGCATTGGCGGAGGTTATTGTCGAGTTCAAGCATCCTAAGAAATAGAAAAAAAGCTAGATCCTACTTTCCATAAGTTTTGCTGCAAGTGATGATGTCTTCTCACGCACCTGACGTAAACTCTTACTGTATTTATTTGCCCTACACATCTCACTCAGGCCGACAGTAACGCATAATTCCTAGTTGAGTACGTTGTCCAATATACGATGTCCTTGAAAATCCTATAAAGGTAGTTGATATTTTTAATCTAGGTTTCTGATGTTTGGCAGCAGCTCCCAATTCCCAGTACCCCTCGTGATTTAAATTGTTCCTACGACTGCAGTGGTCCTGGTGATTGATAGTTTGTTATTTTACACGTGAATTTAATATATTCATGTTGTCTTGCTCACCACTATTTTTTCTTGTTTTCTTATTTTTACTAGCCTGCTCCTTACGAACATAATAGGGTTTCAGAAGCCCTCAGGGTCCAGATTGTTACTGTGGGTAAATGTATGTATATTTTTGTGTATGGCCTTTCTAGCTTTAATGTAATCTCATCAAATACTTCAAATTATTGGTCAGGAGTGTGCCCACTCCCTCACGTCTTTATTCATACCAGGCCAGCAACACCGTTCAGCTATAAGTGTTTAACCCATTGTTGTAAGACTCCTCCGATTGCTGAGTTGGATGCGTCTACTGCGATGCTAATGTGTGCTTCAGTGCCCTGATGTGCAAGCATTGTTGCTTTAGCGATCAGTTCTTTAACTGTGGAGGATGCTGTTCGTGCGGTGTCGTCCAAATTAATCGATTCCGTATTTCCACGAAGTTGGTCGGTAAGAGGTTTCATAAGTAACGCGCATTTCGGTATGAAACGTCTATAGAAACTTACGAGGCCGTTAAACGTTCGTAATTGCTTGACGTTGGTCGGTTCTGGTAATCCAGAATTGCCGCCACTTTGGTCCTAAGGGGTCTAATGCCCTGAGCCTCTATAGTGTGTCCTAAGGAGGTTTAATGAGTCGGTTTCGAATTGGCATTTCTGAACCTTCACAGTAATGCCATGTTTTTGTAGTCGTTCGAAAACAAGATCCAGATGCTTGAGATGTGTTTCTCTGTCCGGATTTGCGATTAGGCAGTCGTCAACATACGCATCTACGAAGTTGAGACCGCGAAAAACGTCGTCTATGAATCTTTGGAATGTTTGAGCAGCATTTCGTAGACTGGAAGGCATTCGCAAAAGTTCATAGAGTCCGAAGGGAGTTATGATGGTGGTTTTCGGTATGTCGACTGTGGCCATAGGGATTTGGTTATACGCTTTAATCAAGTCGATTTTCAAAAAGACAGTTGTACCTTTCAAGGTAGCTGTCAAATCGTGAATGTGAGGCAACAGGTAACGACCGTGAATGTTTTTTTGCATTCAATCGCCGATAGTCACCAGTTGAACGCCAATCGTTGCTGTCATTTTTTGAGACCATGTGCAACTGATGCCCATGGGCTGTTTGACGGTCTTGTGATACCTAAGTCTATAATGTGATCGAATTTGTTTTTCGCCAACGTCAGCTTTTCGAGGGCCAGTCGACGTGCTTTAAAGAATACAGGTGGTCCTGTAGTCGTGGTGTGATGTGCAACGTTGCTGGTTACACACGGTAATTTCGGTTGCGTCTGGTGTATCTCAGGATACTTATTGAGTAGTGGTTGATAAAGTGGGTCTATCGTATGCATGATTGTGACTGGGGATAATCTGCAACCAGAAAAAGAAGTTACGCAAACAAATAAATTTGTGTTTCCGTCTATTAGCTTCCGTTTGCGCGTATCGATTAGCAGATTGTGGTGTTGTAGGAGGTCTATACCAATGATTGGCATAGAAACATCTGCAACAACGAAGATCCAGTGTATGGGTTTGAGTAAACCCACGTTAAGATAAACATACCTTTTACCGTATGTGGCGATAGGCTTTCCGTTTCCCGCCTGTAAGTTTAAAACCGATTAGTGAAGCCGGTCGTTAGAATTCGCTGAGAGAACGCGAACTTCTGCGCCAGTGTCGACGAGGTAGCGAACTCTCGTTGTCACATCTGTGACGTACAACAGACGGCTATGTTCGCCGGCTACGGTTGCCGTTAACGCGTACCGGCTTCGAAGTTCCCCGAACCGTTTATTGTATCGGTCGGTTTGGAGTTGGGAAAATTGCAGGGTTTTCTGCAATTTCTGGAAGACTTTCCATACTGGTTATGATACTAGCACCAGTCGGGGTTATCAGTCTCTCGTAGACTAGAGACAGATCGCTTACGTGAAGTGCTTCTTCGAGGGGTGTGTGACCGTTTACGTCCGTTACGAAACTTAAGATAACGTGTAAGTGTATGACATCACCCTGTAGTGTCATTCTGGGTCGTTTGAGGCTTTTCTTTGACTGGAAAAACCTTGGTATTAGAAGATTTGGTGATTTCTAAAATGCGGTCGGCAGATGCAGCCTGCTTGTCTAAGGCATTGTTGTGAAACGAGACTAGCACAGTTTGCACCTGTTGAGGAAATTTGGATCAGAAAAGTTGTTTAAATAGGCCATCATCGAAGGTCCTTTGGCCGATACCCCCTCTCATCCTTTGCAACATGTCCTTCGCAGAACCGTGTTGCAGGTCTGTGTTTTAATAAGGAGTTGGTCTTACCTTTGTCTATCGGTTAGGTCTCTGCGTTTAAGGATAGAACGTTTCAGTGTTTCGTAAGGTTCAGAAACATCACTAGTAAACATGTAACAGCTCAGGTTGGTTGGTTAAGAGTTGACCCCAAACAACCAAGCATATGCCAAAACAATATAGTTCAAATATTTATGTACTTCCTTATTTTGTATAAGCGTTATATTTCCTATTATCTTATACTGAATGTTGAGAGGCTTTTTTGTCTAATTAAATAACCCCACGCTTCACTGTGACTGAGCGAAGATCGAAATAAAGACCTATTCACTACTTGTCTGGTTTCTTCTATCAATAGCACGAGGGTTACCTTAAGGCACGAAAAACTTACCTGTTGAATTCCCGCGGTAGTGCCCTAACTACTGCGAGGAATTGTGTACATGTGTCAATCACGCCATGCTCGTAGAAGTCGGCTTCAATGTTGTCTGGCCAGAAGGCCATTAGTTAGAAGGAAGGTGGTGACATAGTCTTTAACTGAAGTACCTTAGGTGTCTGTTTAGTCATGGTGAAATATGAAGTACGAGAATGAACGAGGGAAATATATATACATATATCCAAAAACAGGAAAAAACACCACAATGTATAAAAAATTAAAATAAGTCAATGATATATAGAAACCCAAAAAGGAACAGACTCACAGTTTGCAATTTGGTGTACCAGATCACGTCGGTCTCACTAATGAAGATGACACGGGTATTCAGAGTTTGACAACGCTTTAAGCAGTAACACCTAATACGAAGCGTACCCACCAAGTGAAATCAAAAGACAGAAGCGAGGAGTTTCGAAGATATATTTGATATGCTATCAATATATCGAGGATCGTCTGATCTAATCTGGCTAGCGATTGCAGGGGTTGTTGAGCACGGCGTTCCCACTCGTGATCTGGTGCGGATGCATGACCGAGCGCCTTCAGCTAGGTGAGTCCATTAAAAGTAATGTGGTCAGTATCCAATGTTGAAAACGTGCAGAGCTATTTATTTTGGGGATTTAATAGCCGCTACAATAAACAACCAATTGAAAAGTCTTTTCACAGGCTAAATCTTGACATTCCTGCACATTTGAGACTTTCAGATGACATTTGTTTAGCAGACGTCGAGTGGATTTCTTTTAGATATGACCAGTTGGTTGAAAAGTATGGTTATGTAAATGGATTCAATAAGTTCAAAGGCAAAACGAGAGAAATGATTTGCTAAAATTAATGTTTACAATTGCTTTTTATCCACTCCTATTCCATATCATCTCAGGGTTTTTTGTAAATGATCAAATTGTTGCGACGTGTATATTCAATTCATTGGCAGTATTAACGAATAGTTCAAGCAAAACCGTTGAAAATTCGCTATTGTTTTTGACAAAAGCATTTCGAGGATTCAGCAGTTACATTTATTGATTGTCACCTCTCAATGTTTCAACAGTCATGGAAACTTTGTCAGCGTCTACCCACTGTAAGGTAGAAATCATTAAAAGAATTATTTGTCGTCCAGTACTTAAGAGGATGTATAATCAGAAGGCATGTTGATCTGAAAGTTTGGGAAAAAAGAAAAGATTTTCTATAACAAGCAAGTATATAAGAATATTTAAAACAATTAGTCCCTTTGATAAATTTCGATAATGATATTAGAAGACGAAGATTATCAGAACTATGTGATATATTAGCGCAATACATTTCGAACAATCTGGTCACACATATACTTGTTAAGAGCATTTATATATAAAAATAAAAGGTCAACTAGACAGGAAACGGGGTAAGAGGAGATAAGGATAATGATAAGAGTAATAATAATATTAATGTGAACACAATTTGAAACCTAATCACTCTGGATAATAAGTCAATATTACCAGGGTAGGTTTAAGGTAAGAACAAACTGTTTTTGAACACACAAAGGGGGTTTGAATTTTCGTATGACTAAGGCTTCAATAAACCTTAGTATACGCCCTTTTACACTTTTATACAGCACTACAAAAGCTGAATTCAGATCAATCTTGTGACCTGTTTCAATTATATGTTTAGCAATAGAGGATGATGGATGTTTATCCTCTGCTCTTATCGGGTCACTTGATTGTATTTGTTTCTGAAGCCATTTGGGTACATGTTCACTCACCCTAATGTTGAGATCACGATTACTCCTCCCTATGTATGTGTGACCACACACACATTTAAATTGGTAAACACAGTGGGATGTGACGCAATCGTTTCCATGTACTTTAGGTTTTGACATTTGACATTTCACTTTCACTATACTGTCAACTGGGCTTTATTTCGCATTTGATGGAAAGAAAAAATTACGTGTTGCATTCATAGATGTACTAATAACGAAATTAGACCTGGATTTGGTGAATCTTTGAGGAACAGATTTGAACTAACAGTGAGATCAAAACATTGATGTTGAAAAAAATCACAGTTACCACACCTGAGTGACAAGGTCATAAAATCCCAATCATTTTTTTGCTTCAATATATTGGTTTAAGAATCGCATTAGAGGAGCTAGGACTCACGAAAGCAAGGAAAAGAGATGACTGGCCGATCGCTTCAATTTACGCATTATTGTAAGTTGAAACATTTTGTATGTATTAGTGTCACTATGATTGCCAAAAGTTCAGTGAATTTTAGGCTTCTCTCCTATGCTTATTACTCTTAGTGTCACTTGAATGT